GGGATGCCACGAGACACCTCTGCTATGATCCCATCGGACACGTGCGCCCAACATATTCACCAGCTGATTCTACATGGGTGTTAAACAGACCGTTACTGCACCACGCCAAAACCCACCGCGCTGGGAGTGTCACCGGCTATAAACGTCCCCGCCAGCAGCACCCGCCCCGGTATCGCTCCTGACCCAGGGGGAAGGGACTCTGTCACTCTGTCACCGCGTGGTCCAACGCTTCCCTGGCAAACTTCAGCTCACCCGAAGAAAAGTGTCTGACAAAGGATCTTTGCAAAACTCGAAATCAGACCCCATTAGTTTTCAAGCACCGAGAAGTTCTTTTCTTTTTTTTTTTTTTTTTTTTTTTTTGAAACCGATCTGGATGAATCACTCATCCCGTTAAACGCTTGGTCGTGACTTAAGCTGCAGTGATATGAAATCCCTGGAGTACGGAGCCCTTCTACACCAAGTGATTTTTAATGTAGCACTGTACTCAAATTATTCTACATGTAATAAATGCAGTAAGTAAATTAAATACATAAAAAAAAGAAAAGCTTCTGCACCTGGTATGTCACAGAAGAAAACGCAATGAACCTCTCTTTAAATATCTTTAATGGGATTTTTCGAAAAGTGGATGACAAAGCATTTAAATCCTTTTTAGGCGACACTTTGCTAATAACCTAAAAATACAATTTCAAATTGTTTCAGAGATAAAGAGGCAGCTAAAAATATCTTGCTAAACAATCTGTTACAACATGCCTTTTTGATTACTTATGACAGTGATATCTTCGCTACATAAAAAGATGGAAACGATAGAAGATTCTTCTTTATTGACAGCGAGTATCTAATTTGAGTGGGGGAACTGCGTATCGCTGAGGCTTTATCTCCAAACTGATAACCAGCTTAGCCTATTTTGTGCTCTTAGCCCACTAGCAAGAAAAATTTTAAATCATCAGCTGAGAGTAATCCAGACACAAGGTTACCTCAGGCAGCATTTCTAATCAACACTGAGCAACCCAGGCTGCCTTCGGAAGCCACGTGTGTGCATTTTAACCGAAACCAGCACCTACGCCAGGACGAACTGCGGCTTTCTGTTTGGTGTAGAAACACAGCAAGGAACGAACGGAGCGACAGGACCCACCGAGGCTCCGGAGCGGGCCTTGCAGCGGCGCTGCCGGGGGTGCTCGGCAGAACGGCACTGGGGAAGGACGCGACCCGCTCCCCCCGCGCTCCTGCGAGCCGCGGACACGGGCCTGCCTCGGGCACGACGTCTGCTCGTTTCTTCACGGACTATCTCGGGACGGCGGAGCACAACTGACCCGACCCCTCTGAAGCCACGTCTCGGATCGCTCTCCGGAGGATCCTCTGACCCGCCGTGCCGCGGGACAGGGCTTACCGAGACAGAAGCCAGCAGCAGCCTCAGCTCCCTCGCGCCCCTGCTGCACTCTGCTGTCTTGTCTACAGGCAAAAGGACGTCGCAGAAAAGCGTGAAGCGCTGGAGAGTGTGATCCCGACACCGGTAACTCCGGTTGCACCTTTTCTACAAGCGCAGGCAGCTCAGAACCAGCTACCGACAGGAGGGCATCGTTCTCTGGGGGTACCAGAAGCCAGCAGCAGCCTCAGCTCCCTCGCGCCCCTGCTGCACTCTGCTGTCTTGTCTACAGGCAAAAGGACGTCGCAGAAAAGCGTGAAGCGCTGGAGAGTGTGATCCCGACACCGGTAACTCCGGTTGCACCTTTTCTACAAGCGCAGGCAGCTCAGAACCAGCTACCGACAGGAGGGCATCGTTCTCTGGGGGTACAGAGCAAGAGGTGCCCGGGGCTGTAGGTGCAGTGTTTGGGCATCTCTCCAGAGCGCGGGGACACCTCAGGGAGTGAGGTGAGGGATGCAGGGGAGCAGAGGAGCTGAGCCAGACCCTGGCTGTGACTCCCGCAGCAGCAGACATGCCAGGGACCAACAGCAACCACGTCAGGGAACCACCCTCAACTCGCTGCTTTTGCTCTTTGGGACAGAACAAGACAAATCTGCTTGTTTTAGGCTTTCTGCCTTTAAAGAAAATCTTGGCTATGTGCAAAAGACATGAATCCATCTCCCACGTCTGCTATAACAATAAGCAGCACTGGGTTTGCTTTCAGGTCTTTTTGAAAGAAGGAATCCACTGCTGCAATTCCACTGAGAGCTGTGAATGCTACTTACTTTAACTCCATCTCTATGTTGTGGCAGAACTAAGATTTATCATCATCTTCACAAGTGAAGATCAAAAGCTTATCCCATTTCTCAAGAACACACTCAGCTTAACTTATGGCATCAGATATATTTAACAAGTAGAGACCAAGATGAACCTAATTTCAACTAATTTCTCATAAATATTTCAACTGAACCGTAGTCAAAGAGCATTCCTTATGATAGAAAACATTCATAAACCTAAATACATTTTAATCTCTATTAGTATACTTTCCCTTTCCCTCATTCTCTCAGTATCTTCCAAGTGATCGTTTGACACGTGGATGTGGTGAACGAACATTTGGTTAAGTGGCTGCTCAGGTAACTTTCTACCATTGTTTTGTTTTCAACATATCATGCCTTAAAACTAAACATACTTAACTCCTGAAGGACAACAATTGTAAACAGTAGCTTTTAAAATACTTTGTTAGCTTATGTTTAATAAAAAGACACAGTTTTAGTACATGCAAATAACAGCAGCGTTAAAGTTGAGCTAAGCAGATTTCTCCTGCAAATATTCAATTTTCTAAATCTTAAGTATTTGCCCAGGAAGAGGGAAAAAAAAATCCCCCGCACTGCTCTCGTAACACAGCTGTAAGAGTTCTGTACCGAAGTACCAACTTGATCAAATGGTGACACTGCTACTTTTAAAAGTCTCTTGAACTTGTTTAAAATGATAGTTTTGTCCTTCGAGATGCAATTGTTACTATGTAAAATATTGTCTCTCACGAGTCAACCATTCCACTAGGAAGCTGAAACGACCCAGAGCACCAGGCGCCCCTGCACACCCCCCTCCCTGCCCGGGACCGGCCCGACAGCCTTCCTCACCCCGCTGCCCCCCGCAGCCCCACGCTCCGCCAACGGCCACTTACCTCCTCATAAAACTTCAGCTGAGGGACAGCTTCATCGATCTCGTTCATGCAATAGTCTTTGAAAAGCAAAAATCCTGGAAAGAAAAAAGTAAAAAAAAGAAAAAAAAAAAAGTCAGCAAAAACCCGCATCATTGCTACGATGACTTGTAAGAAAGGATCCAACCCACGCGGGTAACATCGTGGGGAGCACGTACCTGCGTGAGCATCCCCGGCTGCCAAGGCTTGGCAGCCCTGACTCTCAAGCGGCTTGACAGCACTCTGAGCAGAAAAGGATCATAAACCCCTCTCGCCTCCCATAGGTGTATTAAGCACATACCAATTTCTACCTGCTGAGAATTTTATGACACGTTCACATAACGCACTGAAATACCCCATTCCTCTCCACGGATCAGATTTGGTTTCTTTTTTTCAGAGTAAAAACAAGGTATGATTCACACGGTTTAGTTTTTTGAAATAGATTTACCTACTTTCTGTGAATAGAAAGCAACCTCTTCTGCATCCCGATTTTGCCATTACTGGTTACTGTCACCTCTACTAGGGTTCATGGCACAACAAATCTCATCAGGATCTTTATAGTTTCTGTGCAAGCAACTGAAAGCATGGCCTCTGCAGCCTGCGGGTGACAGTCTCCGTCACAAGCGTGTTAACGCGCAGCGACAACCTTCGCCTGTTGGA